GTCCTAATAAAATTAGAAAGAGCCGATTAATGATATATAAAATTATATAAAAAATTATGCCTTAATTATATTTTTATAGTAAAATTTGGGACTCAACAAAAAAGAATTATATTTATTTTATAAAAAAATATTTATCAATAGTACATACAAAAAATTATATAAAAAATACTTAAAACTACATAATTTTAATTAAAATTTATTGAAAAGATTAAAGTATTTTAATTTTTAATATTTTATTAAAATCACTAATTTTAAATTTTTTTTATAAGTATAGTTGATAAATACAAGAGTAATAATAGGAGAACTAAAATTCGAAATAAAATTTTAAAATCAATGACATAGCGCAAACAATATTATTAAATTAATTAATGTATATAATATTATAAGTATAAAAAAAATCAATCATTAAATAATATAAAATTTATTTTTTAATATTTTAAATGACTTATGTTACATCATTGATTTCAAATTTAATTTCATCTTATTTATCATTATTTTAAATTTTAAATACAAATCTCTTATTTTATTTTCCTTTAAAAATTACTAGCAAATTGAACTTGGTCTTTCGAGTCAAGTGGCTCTAGTTACGTTTGTAAGGTTCATGTTCTCTCCCACATGGCAACTGTTCAAGCCGGCCATGACAAAAAATGTTCAAAAAATAAAATAAAAATAAAAATTACTAGCAAATTAAATTTCCGAAGGAGGATAATGCAAAGATCTATGTAAATTCAAATCCTTCCATTTCAAATGTGAGTATAAATTTATTAAGTAAGTATATCAGATTCAGTGGTATGCAAAATGAGCAAAAGAATTATTATTATTATTTAATTTCGGAGGAGTGCTAACGTGGCGATCAACTAGTGGTCTGTTGACTTAGAAAGTGTAAAGTCAACTTGTTAGCAAAAAACCCTACCGCAGGCTACAGAAAATCAGAAATAGAATCAATCATTTTCAGCAAACTTTTTTGGTCCATCAGATTCTCGCTTTCACTCTCTTCTCCTCTGCTCAGCTGCTTTTTAATTACTACAGCCGCCGGAATCCTTTTCAGGTGATCCACCCCCCACCTCCTCCTCCTCCTCCTCCACCTCACTCACTCACTGTCATTTTCCCTCACTTTCTGGCCACGGAATTCCTCGAACCAAACGCTCCATCGAGTAAGAATCTTAGAACTCGTCACGCTTTGCTACCTTTACTCTTTGTCTTTATTTGCGCTACGAACCTTCAGTAATCTTTCTTTGTTTTTACTCGCATTTTGAAAAACCTTAGAGAAATTCCTAAGCGACACTGTAATATCGTCTTTTGCTTTTTTTAAGCTTTGTTTTGTTGAATTTGAGCTTGGATTTTGTGTTTTGAGTCCAAAGCGTCAGTTTAAGAGAAAGGCGTTTTCAATGCGAAATGTAGATTTAGGTGCGGTGATTTTGGTTTTTGAGGAGGCAGTGCAGGGAGAGAATTTCGTAAAATGTGTGGATGCATCGGGGCGTAATGAGGAGCGGTAGTCAATGATGCTCAAGGAGGAGATGGCTGCTGTGGCGGAGCAGTCGAGGGCTGGCTTGGCAGAGAGGGACATTGAGTTGGTAAACTTTCCGTTTGACTTTTGAAAATGTTGTTTTGTTTACAACTATTTTCATTCTCATGATACCGCATGCTGCCTGTTGGTTCCTTCTTCTTCTTCTTTTTTTTTTTTTTTTGTTCTTGTCCTGTTAAATTAAACTATGGTAACAATCTCTCTTGAATGTTTGGAAAATGTCTTTCATTTCACTCTATTGTTTACTTTGCTTTTGTGTTTTTAATTGTGAATTTAAACCGGTCGGTTGATGTTGATTGTTGATTTTTAGGTCAGAGGATGGTGGAGTTGGATAACACAAAATGATTTGATTTGCTGCAAGTTAAATCAAACTTGTTTCATTTCTTAGATAGACTGAGAATTTTTTTTTTTCCTTGCATCATAAAACACTTATGGTTGGCTAATCTTTTGATTCCAGAACTGCAATCTGAAATCTGGTCCTGCCCTATCAGTGGTGGTCCCTGAAGCATAGGATTAATCCTTTCTTCTGTTATTTCCCCTGCCCTTGCATTTTCCTTTAATAAAAACAAATTTGACAAATTGACAAAGGCAAGTGTTTGAGCTACGCATTTAAACATTATTTCTTGCTAGACACAAGTACAAACAAAACAGATTTAAACAAGCAGGACAGACAAGTATTAACTGGCTAGTTCATCAAATGGTTTTGCACTGCTTACTGCTGACAGCTCAAATGAAATATTGAACTACACTAACATTAATCAACGTAATTAGTAACAAATCATGTGGAGTATCACTACACAGAAATGTAACTCCAGTGTTACTCTATATCATAAATATAATACCCACGTTCCTCAAATGAGTATTATTTGGAATATTTATACAAACTTGTAACTACATTGTTCATCCTATGATGTTTATCTTATCTGTGTGCAACAAATTTAGGGGGACAATTTAACTTTTGCATGATTTACCTTCACCCTTCATTATTGATCCTTCTTCCTTTAACTCAATTTCTCCATTTTCTATTTACAATAGGCTATCACTGCCCTTAAAAAAGGAGCACACTTACTCAAGTATGGTCGCAGAGGGAAGCCCAAATTTTGTCCGTTCAGATTGGCCAATGTATGATTGTTTGTCTTTGAAGATTTTTATGCTTATTATTGCAACATCAAAATCATGGATTTGAAATGTGATTATTACATTGGTGGTTCTGACTTCTAGATGTGCATGGGAAGTCCTTTAAAAGAATGCTTTTCATATCTTTATATCCCCTTTGATCTGGTGACTCTTGTGAATGAGCTATTTCAGATATCTTATTCAACAAGACCTTCTATAATCTGTCTATTATTGCCTTTCTGAATGTCTTCTCTTTTGTTTCTCTTGGGAGGAACAGTTATTGTTATGCTGTACGTGATGAGATCTTCTGTCATATTCCTAAATTTGGATGCTGCACGATCATTCTTTTTTTTTTTTTTTTTTTTTTTGTTTTTTCCTCCAGGATGAATCTGTTCTAATATGGTTCTCTGGGAAGGAGGAAAAACACCTTAAACTAAGCCACGTCTCAAGAATCATACCTGGTCAGCGCACTGTAAGTTATCCATGTCAGTATTTCCTTCACCTCTTGGATGGTACATGCTGCACTAAATTCATGTATTAACATATTATTTTACCTATGATTATCTTGACAAGAAGAGTTAAACTCTTTTCAAATATGGCTTTGAGGTTTTTATCTTCGACTTTAAATGTGAATTAACTTGGTGATTATTCTTTATTTTGTTCATTGCAGCCAATATTTCAGAGGTATCCTCGGCCTGAAAAAGAATACCAGTCGTTTTCTCTTATATATAATGATAGGTCTTTAGATTTGGTAAGTATGTGCTTGTTTCTGACTGGACCTTTTCTATTTATCTTGGGGATTCTGTTCTCCAT